TAGTTTGATACTTCCCCTCCTCCTTCTTCCCCTGGCTTCCCCCTTCCAGATCCCTCCTCCCAGGTTTCCCCCTCCCCTCTCCCACCCTCTCTCTTCTCCTCTCCCACCTCCTTTTCCCAGTCTCCCCAAGTTTTGTTAAATAAAGAGAGTTTCTATTTTTGAACACACATGTCCTTTATTTTTTACATCAGGAAGGGGGGCTAGGGAGGGGTAAGTGGAAGGAGATGAGGGAGAAATGGGGCACAAGCCCCCAATGGGGAGGACTGGGGTGGCGCTGCAGGCTCCTCAGGGTGGAAGCTCTCCTGCAGCCCCCTGATTGACCCCCCGCCCCGGATTGCAGCCTGCGGCAAGTGCAGCTGGGCTGATGGCCGAGTGCTATGATGTGCCGAGTGTGGGCACTCCAAGCCAGGACTGCTTTGCTGTCCCTCATCGAGGTAGACAAGCAAGCGGGGAACCCTTGAGAACTGTCTGTCTGGGGTGGGGGTCGGGTCCCTTTAAGCACAGCCCTCGGCTAGCCTGAGAAAGCAGCTCCACGCTCTAAGTCCTAATCTGACGCCCTGCCGGCACTGCTTCCGGCCAGCCTTAACCTCGGTTCAGGGTCCACTCAAAGTGGACAGGCTAGTTCGAATTAGCAAAATGCTAATTCGAACTAGTTTTTAGGTCTAGATGCACTAGTTCGAATTAGCTTAGCTCGAATTAACTAATTCGAATTAAGTTAGTTTGAATTAGTGCTGTAATGTAGACATACGCTAAGAGAGTTAAAACCATTAGAGTTTGAACGCTCAGATCCCTCCCAACCTGCATCTCTGGGGCATGACGTTTCACTGGCGCTCAAAGTGCTTGGAAAGCATGTTACATCTGGTGCAGAATCAAAACTTTACTCCTGTCACAGACCTTAACTGTGTGAACACTACTGCTCTGTGTCTAGGTAAAGTTGGGTTTCCATTTACTGCACACTACTCTGCCAAAAAGTTTGCCCGGGATGGGTTTTTCAGCTCCTTGCGACAGGAATTAATCCTTCAGAGTACTGACGTTTCCATCACACTCTGTATTCTAGGTTTTGTTGATACAGGTAAGAGCCATGTGGTATGGACCCTTCTGATTAGGAATGAGTCACTCTCCAAGTTCAAACGTTTTAGCCCAACTTTCAAGTTGGTTCACAACTCTTCCCTTCCTTCTTTCTCCTCTCTTGTCTCTTCTCTGCCAATGCTATTTGTCAACTTCTCACAAACATTCCTGTCTTCTTGTATGCCACCTTAAATACAAGGAAGGTCCTCTCTGGATGGACAGTACTTCTGCTCTCCCCCAAATCCCAGTCTCACCCTGGTCTACACTGAAATTTTATACCAGTGTATCCATCTCAATCAATGAGAAAACCCCATCCTCTGACTGGCATAATTATGTTGATAAACAAGCAATGTAGATGCAGCTATATCCACAAAAGAGTGCTTCCTTAGATGTAGCTGATGTCGCGGGGCCGTGTTTCTCAAATTTTGTTTCCCTGTGGACTGCTGGAAAATTGTTGGACCACTCAATGATCCTTCACAATACTTTGTACCATTAGCTAATGACTGTGATGCACTGTGGATAAAAGTGCTATATAATACAATCTTTATTAATAGCTAGCAGAAATACCTAGCATCGCCTGGGGAAAATATAGTAAAATGTGTGATGAACTAACTATGTCAGTGACATTAACATAACAAATTTTTAATTGGAAATACTTTTCTCTTATTTATTACTTTAAGAAATTAACACAGCTAGTGATGTGCTTACAAAACACATTTACATGTAACTCATTTCTTGATAAAAGGTGTGGTGAATGAACTACATAAATTATGTTAACAACATTTTATTGGAAATACTTTTTCTGTTATCATAGGGAAAGGATATTGTAGTTGCAGTTTAAGTGACATGCTTAACAGAAGAGTCCAGCAAATACCTATGATGAGGCGCTACTAAAAGCTAATTAATGGTCCAATTGGAGCTCTGGGATGACCAATTTCGAGATATAACCAATCCAGTTATTTAAGTTAGGAGATCAGTAGTATCCGTGCAAAATTTGGTGTTTCTAGCTCTTACTGTTTCAGAGATCTTTCAGGAAAAAAAACAAAAACAAACTTTCAGAAATATTTATAAGATCATCAGTGAACATGTCAGTGATCTTTTTTTCTTACCAGACAGCAGCTAAATTGGAATGTAGGTGCAAACTGTGAGAAAAACGAGGAGCTCTTCCTGTCCAATACTGAGGAACCACATGCTGTTCCAGCCAGCTGCGTGCATCAGGCTCACCCACTGGTAAAATATTTGACAGTCAGTGAAGAATTTTCGTTTATGTAAGGAGAGCTTATAAAATCAAAAGAAGTCCCACCAATAAGAATCCAAACAATGAGTTAGCTTCAGTATATGGCTCCATTCAATTAAGTGGCTAATTACTCCGGTTTGTTTGCACTTTATTGCATGTAGATTCATGGTAATTGCATGTGTAAGTTACTTTACATACACAGCTGCCAGGCCTATTAAAATCAGTCTCTCAAAATAAGAAAGAGGTTTACTAATATTTATCTATCTTTCCATCTTAAGGAAATATACTTTTGTCTCAATAACTGTCTAAAATACATACAAAACCTAGATATAAAAGGGCACAAAACACTACTAAGCTCACCCAATACCAGGGTGCCCTTAATACCAAGCTCTTAGGAGATCACCTAAAAATTATTTTTTCTGGATCTAAAATCCATGACACCTAGCCTCCTCACAGAGAACCAGCTTCTATCGTAGGTGCAATATCAGACTGCACACTCATGTAATTTCACAGCTGTTAAGGAAACCTACTGGAAACAATTTGAAGGGCAGTCCCATTAACTGCATTTTTGTAAATGCCTCATTCATTGAATTACTGGTATACTATAGCCAAGAATACACAGCTATTTTTCTTAATACCTGGTTTTATTTTAGTGTTAACATTTAATAACATAAGTTTTATATTATGTAAAGACATGCAACTTATATTTATCTGATATGCATTTTTTCCTATGGCAGCATTGGTGTGCAGACTCCCATAGGAATAAATGTAAATCTTTCCAGTGACTTTAATGGAAATTGGATCAAACCTTCATTACACACAAATGAAGCACTATCATGTTGCTGTTAAAGAATAACTACAATACATAACCAAAGAACCGCTTCAACTTTAAATATAGTGACAATATCAGAGCACTTTAATATAGAAGCATAACTATGAAAGACTTAAGGTAGCTACATACAAGTCAGAATCATTTATTAGGAATCCATTTATTATGAGAGCCTCCATTAAGAGAATTTTGAACAACGAACCTTTCCATGAGACCTGAGACACTGTTTTCTTGTGTTGGTCTTGTTCTTCTTGTGGTGTTCTGTCTACTTGAATGCCAGAGTCTTCTCTGCTCAGAGGCTGTTGAGCATCCTCCTCCTCTTCACTGTCTTCAGACCAATCCTGCCAAGTATGACAAGACCAAGTACATTTTTGTGCAATGTGCATGATGGAAGGCAGTATACAGGCAGTCCCCCGGGTTATGTACAAGATAGGGACTATAGGTTTGTTCTTAAGTTGAATCTGTATGTAAGTCGGAACTGGCATCCAGATTCAGCCGCTGCTGAAACTGATCAGTTTCAACAGCGGCTGAATCTGGATGCCAGTTCCGACTTACATACAGATTCAACTTAAGAACCCCAGGAGTCCCCAAGTCAGCTGCTTCTGAAACTGATCAGCGGCTGATTCCAGGAAGCCGGGGGCAGAGCAA